ACTGACCCTCATCCCCTTTTTGTTTTCATTTTCCACCCTGGGGGCATCCGTTTCTCCTCTATCAGTGTTACAAGCTTCCCTGGGCTCACAGACGCTCCCCCCCACACACGCTTTTCTCAATCCCTGTTCCACACCCTTTCTTCTCACTCCTCCACTGTCATGAGTAACTTTCATACGGGTGTTGCATATTTGGAGGTTTATGCCCTCCTCCTCCGTCCTGGCAATCTTCGTGTCGACAGTTCTCCACCGTTCCATTTGTTTGCTGCATGATTGGGTGCTTACTCTGCCTCTCAATTCATCATCCCCCCTCCTTCCTATCGCACGCTCTTCCCCATTGCTGATAGGAACGGCATTCAGGCAGACACCAGGTCTCCGGATCTCTGCATTCTGATTCCCCATGTTCTCACTCTCCTCTCCTGTGCTCGTCTTTGGGGGGACTTCAAAGTGTTCGTCCCGGGGAGGGGGCTGGATCGTTGGTGGGGGTATTCCTTGTCTGCAGAGGGTCCAGGCAGAACACCGTGTCTCTCCCTTTCACCGTATGCCTAGGCAATCGAGCCGTGGTTTCGTTCTTCTTCTCCCCCCTTTTTTCTTTTGATCTCCGTCGACGTTCCCCACAGTGTTGGGCTGCAAACTCCTCATGCTGGATCTTCCACACTCTCCACAGTTGTTGTTAAGTTCCAGGGGTGGGGGTCTATCGTGGTGATATTGGGGAAGGGGGAGGCCTTCCATCGGTGGATGATTACGTGTGTTTGACAGTGGTGGCCTCCTCAGACGTTCATTAGAGCGATATTGGTGTTGATCAGGCAAAACGGGGTTGCCCCTGGAGTGTCGAGGGTTAGCCAAAGTTCCATCTATCTGTTCAAGATGGAGGCCAGGTATCCCATCACATTTACAGCTATACAAGCATTGTTTAGACCGCTTATAATGATTGGCATGGTGTTTAAAATCCCATTTCCTCAATGCTTGTTGCGCTGGATGTAAGTCAATATGACAATTAACCGTGTCTTTGTTGGAATACCATGCCTCTTTCAATAGCCGGCTCCCTTAGTGGCATCCTCAGACATAACACGAACATTCACAAAGTCAAACTGGTGGCCATGTTGTGCCATATGCATCCACAATTGACAATGCTGTTCACCCCTTCTTATAGCTAACTGATGTTCATGCAGGCGAGATCTTAAACGCTTAGCTGTTTCACCCACATAATTGCCATCGCAGTTTCTTGCAATTGATTTTATAGATTACTGCTGATCTATCCATGGCAGGGAGTGGGTCCTTGGGGCGAACGACTTTGGACCGTAATGTCTGATTGGGTCTGTGGGCCACTTCTATTCCATGGGGGGCCAGCAGTCTGGCTGTTGCTTCCGAGACGTTATTAATATATGGCAAAGAGACACGCATTTTTTGTAATAATGGTTCCTCTCTCTTTTGGTTGTTCCGGGTCTGGGGTGTAAGACCGTACTGTCTGATAAACCTCAAAGGATACCCATTACATTGACAAATCCGGAAAAGGTATTGCCTTTCTTTCTTCTTAAACTCCTCAGTGCTGCAGTGGGAGTCCACATGCTTAAACAATGCTTTAATGCAGCTAGCTTTATGAGATACGGGGTGGTTGCTCCTATAGTGGAGTATTCTGTCCGTGTGGGTGGGTTTATGAAACACCCCTGTAAGTAACATCCCATCCAATTGGTGGTATATTGACACGTCCAGGAAGGCTAGGTGACCTTGTTTTTCTTCCTCCACTGTAAACTGGATGTCAGAGCAGATCGAGTTTAGTACTCTCATAAAGGTAGCTACATGTTGTTTTTTAACAACTGCAAACGTGTCATCCACGTATCGAACCCAAAATTTGGGTTGGTATAGCGGAAATAGTACTCCAACAGCTAGAACACAGGGCTATGGCCTTACACCAACCCAAATTTTGGGTTCAGTACAGCACACATCAAAAATGAAATTTAGTTGCCTGCTCTCAAAGTGAAACATATACATGACACACACCTAAGCATACTATGAATATATGTATAGATCCTCATCCCTACATATACGTAGCAAATAAATATTAAATACTGTCCATCTTGAATATATAACGGAAGGAGAAAGCTTGAGAGTTCACAAGGTTAATGCTGTATGGAATGAAACTATGGCTGAATCTGGATGTCCTGCTACAGATACCACGAAGGTTCCTCCCAGAAGGTAACAAGGAAAACAGGTCGTGAAGAGGATGTGTAATGTCCCGGATAATCTTACGGACCTTGCTCAAGCAACGCTTCTGTGCTATGTCCTGGATGGGAGGGAGGGAACTGCCAATGATCTTTTCGGCCATTCTCACCACTCTCTGCAATGTCTTCCTGTTTGAAGCAATGATGCTTCCAAACCAGACTGTGATGCTGTATGACAGGATGCTCTCAACTTTCACTCTGTAGAAAGTGGTCAGGAGAGAGTAAGGAAGATGTGCTTTTCTCGTGCAATGCAGAAAATGCAGGCGCTGCTGTGCCCGCTTCACCAGTTTCTCACTGTTGAGCGACAAAGTCAGCCTACTTGTTAGCTGTACACCCAGGAATTTGATGCTGGTAACCATCTCCACAGGTGAATCATTAATGCACAGAGAAGTGTGGCTGTGCCTGTCTTTTCTGAAATCAACAATGATCTCTTTGGTTTTTCCGGTATTTAAAACTAGACTGTTTTCCTTACACCAGTTCACCAACCCCTCAACATCCTTAAGATAAGCTTCTACCTTGTCATCCTGAATAAGGCCCACTACTGTTGTATCATCTGCGAACTTCACAATATGGTTGGCGGCAAATCTGGCACAACAGTCACGGGTCAACAGGGTGAAGAGCAGCGGACTTAAGACTTAAGACAATCCATCACCATTGCCTAACAACCATGTCTTCCATTGTGCCATACATCTGTGCACAAAGCTTCTGATGTTTCTTTTTTATTATTATTGAAAAGTTTTATACAAGTTTTTAACAATATCCCCCCTAAAATAACCCCCTCCCTCCCCCCCTCACTTCCCAGAGCTGGTTACAGGGTACAAATAAACAAACAAATTCTAAATAAACTTATCCAGCTATACAAATAACAAAATCAATAATGTACTTTAACTCAAATACAAAACAAATTTAAGTAAATTTGTACAAATAAAATACGAACACCAGGAGAGTATAAATATAAAAATATACTTTATTAAAAGCTGCCAAGCTTTCGTTTGGAAACTCCAAACACCAGGAGAGTATTTTATCTATCTTATTGGAAGAGATTAATATCAAGAATACTATATTGCTTGAGGGGCTCATCCCTTTTAAATTAAAATTCATTTATATCCAAAATGTTTCTATTTCTTTAACCATATTCAAACAGATGTTTAATTTTCAAATATTCCTTCCCATCATCTAATTTCTTGATTCTCACTTTAGCCTTTTTTTCTTTTTGCCAAACATCTTTCCTGATCAATATGTTTCTCTGAATCAAAAAATCTTCCTATAGTTTTATGGATGTTGTTGTGGGTACAAAGGGCAAATCAGATGAGATGTTTTTATAAGAAGGTTTCACCCCTTCATATTCATTGAATTTTTTCCCCTTTCTTTCTCTCTTAATTTCTCTTATCATTTTTTGTCTCTTAAGTTCTGCAATCCATTTTGTCAAATCTTTTTTCTTGTCCTCAGACTTATTTTGTGATTTTAGAGTATAAGTTATCTTTTACATGTCCATTATTTCCTGTAAGTTTTTTTCCCATCTGGGTTGAGTCACACTTCCTTCTGTTGTTAGGTTCCATCTTTAAATCTCTGTCCTCTGGTTCATAAGTTTTCTGCTTTATCTGCTCACTCTCTATTTTTATTTTCTGAGAGTTTTTTGTTTTAAAGTTAAATTGGAGATGTATTCATTTATGTTTTCAGTTATTTTTAAATTCCTCATAGTTTGAGATCATTTTTGTTTGAATTAGTTGCAACATAGCATACATTTCCTCCTGAAAAGTATTTGGTTTTTCTTGGTATATCAAGGTTTTCCTTTCTCTGCAGACAGCTTTAAAGTCACAGTTGAATAAGTATTTATAATCCAGAAAATCAATTGTTTCTTCTTCTAAAGTTTATAATTCTCGCTTTGTAGGTAGCCAAAGATTTTTTTTTGGGGGGGGGGTCACAGCTATTCTCTGTTTTTAAGACATTAAAAGTCACCAACAATAAGTTATCTTTTCCTGGGCTTTGCCAATTCCTGTATTGAAGCAACTGCAATATTTTTACCCACCACATGATGTCAGCACTAGTTTTTCAATTTCAAAATAAACAGTTGTTTTCTTCTGTTTTCATGCTTTAAAAGGGAAAACACATTCCATCAATTCCATTTTTTTCCAGATTTAGTCTTATATTCATTTCATTTCAATGTATTTCTGTCCCCACTAAAAGGTTTAATTTGCTGCTTCTGTCTGTAGAAGGGTGGGGCAAAGCCTCACCTTCAGAGGCTTTTTGCTTCTTGGGTTCCCCCCCCCCAGGAAATCAATTATCAAATAGAAGAGAGAAAATCACTGTTCTTACCCAGTTCCAAGCATGTTGTTTACAATCAGTTTAAAATAGTGCTTTTGGGCTTTGGCTCCTTGCCAAAGCTAGCTTTTCTCCTGCTGGTTTCTGAAGGGCTTTTCCCAGACGAATCAGATTGATTGCTGTTTTTCCATACTCAGCGGGACTTCCCTCCTTCCTTATTGCTTCTACATGGTGACTTTAGGCCCATTTAGGGTCCCCTAACAGGCAGAAATTGCCCATAGGGTACGGAGCCCCGTGATCCCTCTGCTGCTGCACTACTGTGCAAAACTGGAAGCCAGGCTTCTGGAAGTATTCTTGTTCTCCATGGCTTGTTTTCATTGGCTTTTAGTACCATTAACCATAGCATCATTCTGGACCAAATATGAGGATTAAGAGTGGGAACCATCAAATCTTGTAGAATTTCTAGTTTTAGTCCTCAGTGGGTTTGTATTTCCTTATTCATGATTCATGAGTTCTAAGATGGCGGCACCTGAATTGACTGTGGCTGCATTGGCTCTCGAAGGTGAAAAGCTTTGGGAAGGATATTAAGGGATATAGGCCACATGATCAGGAAGGTTTTAATGTGTTTGAGCAACGTGGTGGAACTAAGGTAATATACGACATACGACCAATAATGTTTGCTGGCATGGCAAGTTTCTAGTTGTTTTGGAATTGTTAGTGAGACCGTTAAAGGTCATTGGCGCTGTTTGAAATTGTTCTGCTGGCAGCAAGATCTGACTGCTGGCCCAGCGACGGATTCTATTGCAAATCAGGACTGTTTCCAAATGAGGCAGAGGAGGAGAGGTCCCGGGGCTTATGGAGTGAAGGAACTGGATGAGGCTGTTGGCAGGCCCAGAGGATGGGAGAGAGGCTTTTGGAGGAGTTGGTGGCAGCGTTCTCCAGCAGTGAAAAGAAGTGAGGCCCTTTAAGGAAAAGATGGAAGAGACAGGATCAGAAAAAGGAAAGGAGGCAAGGTTGTCCTGCAGGAATACAAGCTAATTTGAGGGTTAATTTCCATCTGTCCTGTTTGCTATCATTCGCTCCCTAGAGACTAAAATGGAAGATCTACAACTTGAGCTGGCCATGAACAAGGAGTATATATCAGAGGTGGTGGCCTTTTGAGAGCTGTATGCATCAAAATTTCATTTTGATGTATGCTGATTGATGTACATTCAAAGTGACAATAAAATTGTTGTTATTATTATTATTCAACGTTTTGAAGTATGTTCTAAATTTGAAACTCTTGCTTAAAAAACAGGCAGCAGCTCAGATAAGAAAATCTTCGTACAGATTCAATTTGTGCGCCAGCTGTAACCATTCTTGCTTAGGGAGCCCCTCCAGACAGTCACTCATGCCTTGGTTATTTCACATGAGGAATATTGTGATATAGTCCAAAAGGGTTGAAGATTACTCAGAAGTGATAGATAATACAGGACACAGCGAGTTCAGGCAGTAATGAGAATGCATAGCATGAAACATCTGCTTTGTGAGCTCTGTTAACTCTGTTGGTTGTTAAGCTACTTTCCCGATACAATTTCAGGTACTGGTTGCTACCTTTCATGATGTAGAGCCTGGCTATCTGAGGAATCATCTCTCTAGTATTTTATGTCCATTGTGTACAATGGGAGTTGCCTTGCTTGGGAGTCCCATTGATCAAATGATGCCATTTAATGGGATCCAAGAAGTTGGCCTTGTCTATTGCAGTGTCTCTTTTCTTGAACAGCATCTGCCCAGAAAATCATATGCATATGATTTTTTCCTTGCTCTTCTTCTAGTGATTCTTAAAAACATGGCTTTGCCCCAGGCTTTGGGCTAAGAAGGATGCTTAGACCTCTTATGAGAATATGAATCTTAGGTTGTATGTTTTATTGTTTGGTCTTTATTATTTTATTTTCATACTGTTTTAATGTATGTTATTCAGAACAATTATGGAATTGATTGGCCATATAAATTTAATAAAGAAATATATCTCAGAGCAGAGTCATTTCTAACCTTACTCGGGGGGGGGAGGGCTTTTTTAATTATTAAAAACATGGCCTTGTCTCAAGGTCACAATGCTTCAATTCTTTTGATTAGAACTAGTTCCAGACAAATGATCTGTACATAGTTTTGTGATTACTTACATAGAGTGAGCTCAAGTGTCAACTTTCCAGCTGGCCCATTTTAGGAAAAGTCTGAAAAAACAACTGAAGACAATTGCTGAATTCATATAGCATGCTTAAGACGCTCAGTTAAATAAATAGAAGCATTTTACACATACTAAAGTTGGTTAGTGGTAACCTTGCTTAGTTTGTATAAGTTTAGTATGTGTGAAAACAACTTATTTGTCTATTTATGATTTATTGCAAAGTATTGTATGAATTTAGAAAATAGCATTAATTCTATAACTAGATTAAGTGTGCTATATGAATGTAGCTAAGTAGCTTCTGAACAGGTGATACTTTGGCTGTTTGGAAAGCCAAGTGCTAAGCTTTGTATCCAATAAATGTTAAGGGTTCATAAACATTTCAAGCAGGATATGATAACAAAAGGTGATGATGATCATGGCCATATGACCGAAGTTCTATCTGTGTGTGTGTGTGTGTTTGTGTGTGTGTGTGTGTGCATGTGTGTGTGTATACATTGTATGTATGATTGCATTGTTATGGCTGCCATTTTACCTTTTTTCTAAAAAAAATATACTATCTTATGGACACTCCTAGTTTTAGGGTTCTTATGCAGAGGAAAGAACCAGCATAGAACTCTATCAAACACTATCTTGAGCATGGTACATCTTCAACACAATTTCCACCTAATCAGCTATTGACTTTATTTGTTTTTTAGTGACCTGATACATGTTTTCTCCCTTGTCATTACACTATGCATTGGCATGCAGCAATAGCAATGGCACTTGGACTTATACAGTGCTTCACAGTGCTTTACAGCCCCCTCCAAGCAGTTTACAGAGTCAGCATATTGCCCCCCAAAATCTGGGTCCTCAATTTACTGACCTCGGAAGGATGGAAGGCTGAGTCAGTCTTGACCTGGTAAGGATTGAACTTCTGGCAATGGGCAGAATCAGCATCACCACGGCTCTTCAGATGTAGAAATCTGAAGAAAGTTATACTCTTTTTCACACAAACTTACATGCACACAAGCTCTTTGTTGAATGAATATTCATGAACAATTTTGCAATGGTAATAAGAAATAATTGTTAATGAAACATTGTCCCCTTTAACTAATGTTAATGTAGTCATCTATATGGGTTAACATAATGTTTTCAGTATTTTTGTTCCCTCTCTTTGAAAGTTGGGTACATTGTTCTTGAATTGAGCATCCCTTACATCAGGAATACACAACAGGGTTCTGTATGGTGTCCTAAAAAGGTCCTACTGGCTGGGCTTGGAAGCTAAGCAAGATTGGGCTTAATTGATATTTGGATGGGAGACAATCAGGAATAGGCAGCTATAGTGTGGAGTAACAAATCAAAAACTTCTCAGGAGAATTCATAGATAAATGGCTTTTCTACAGTTGCCTAGAAGATACCTGGAATTGAGATTTACGCAAAAAAAAGACTTTATTTTTTATTTGCATAAAGAGGTGGGATAGAGCCAGGATAAAACATACAGTCTATTGAATCTCATCTAATTTAAATTAAATTAAAATGAATTAAATGCAGATTATGTGATTATTCCCCCTACACTCCTCTGCATTTAATATGTTTCTTTACTCTTATTTGAAAAATCATGTTTTGGAAATGGTTTTTGGAAGGGCTTCAGAGGATAGCTCCAGTGATTTGAGAAACATAGGTGGTCCTGACCACAGATGTGCATCGCTGACATCAATCCAATGACCCAGACAGTGGCTTGGGTTCTTTGCCCTTCAACAGATTTTGGGCATTGACTGAGTTGCTACAGGTCAACGGTCATACTGCAAGTATGGTTCAATATGAAATATAAGCCCTCTTTTAGAAATGCCATTTCCTCCATTGTTATCATTGGAAATAGCCTTAAATACTCTCACATTATGAGTATTAAAGCACGTATTCGGACATACCATTCATTTTTCAGCAAACCTTTGAAGAATATATTATATTTATACAAGTCAGCAATGGTTCTCCTGCCTGTCTACTCTGAATCCAAAATCATTTCTGGGACTGAACAAGGAAGAAACTTCTCCAGTTAATTTTGTCTAATGCCAAGAATGGTGCATTAAGGAAGGCCAGGAAAATCACTTGAAGTTCATCCCACTGGAGCTCTTCTAGCATTTCAGCCACCAAAGGAAGCTTCAGGAACAGCTCAGTTTTTTCCCCCTCCAAATTGACTTTGCAGAACTGTTATCAGCGGGCATCAACTTGCTTGCCAAAATTTTATTGGGAGGGGAAAATATTTAACCCTGCAAATAGGCATATGAAGAATTTATTTTAGGATGCTTCACGTTTTTTCCCCCTTTCTCTCTTGCTATAAGCTACAAAATACCAGAACCATATGAGAAGCTCTGCTCCTGGAGAAGGAATTTACCAGATTGGATTGAGTCCCAAAGAGCAGTTCAGGTTAGTAGAAAAACTCTCATAGGTCAAAATTTAGACACGGTCACTTTCTCCTTGGCTAGTGATAGAATTGTCATTGAAAATTTGCTAGGAATAAAAGGGGAATTAGGAAACGGGGAGATAAGCCTGTAATTTTAAGGACAAAAAGTTTTGTTGCAACATTTTTACAACTACATCCTAGGACTGCAAATCAATTAGACTTAGTCCCACCTCTGAGATTCTTTGGACCAGTTGCAGGTTTGTTAAATAGCAACTGTCTTTGGTGCTGAATATGACAACAGACTTCATTACTGCACACAATGTCTCTTATTAGATCTCTCTTCATATGTGCTGAGTTCAATAGAAACTGTTTTCAGGATATGCATATAAAATTGCAGCTTTATTTGTTTTTTTTAAATATCTGTTCTGGATATGCATGGTTATTTAAATTATGGTGATTGGGCTCATTTTCAATCTTCTCCCCTAAATAAGTATTTAAATACAAGAATGACATACAATATTTTTATAAGGGAAGATATATAAATCCTGGCATCAGCTTATAACTTTTTAGCTTATGTATTTAAATGAAGACATATTATAATAACCACTACCAGTTTTTCCTTCAAAATGTTAAGATCATGTGAATTAAAATGTCTAAATATTATTGTTTGGGCAAACCAGTTGCAAACAAACAAACAAAACACAGCTGAACATTTTAGCAAATACCTTTTAAAATGTCTCCAACATTCATGATTTAGAATGCATTAGGAAAACGAAGAATCTATCTGACTCAAAGTAAGTCTATCTCTAGAAAAAATTAACTACCTTGTGATTATTTGCTTTGAAAGAAGTAAACTAAATTAGATTTTGAGAGAGTAAGAAAGAAGATTTCTTGTATCTATCTAAAAACGAAAACAAGTTATATAGGTGATGGGTACTTCTAAAAAACATAGTGTGGAGTTCCTGGAAAAATGAAGGGAGATGAAGACTAGAACTTTAAAAAATACATTTGAACA